CATGCATTATAAACACGCAATAGGAAAGATGCTCAAGTTTCTAAGTATATGATTCAAGGAGACTCCCTACCAATGTCATTATCATCATCCTGGTGGCTAACATCCCCTGGAAGCTTTCCAGGTGCCAAGCACTGTGTTAATTGCTTTGCTTGCACTATTGTCAGTCAGTTAATAATTGTTAGTCTCACAGTGCCATGAGGTTACTTGACAGAACCCCAAAGAGTTTCCATTATGAAACAAGTGCAGTATGGTTGCTAGGCAAATGGAAGATGTGGTAACTATTTGGAAATGCTAGGAGAATGCCCATATCAGTGGATCCTCAGGCTTGAGGATGCTAATCTTGGACTACTCTGTACTCTGGGCAAATGGTGTCCCAGTAAAACCTGCAGTGGTAATGTTCTTGGTGCAGGTGAGTGGGAGCGGCTACTGCATGCAGAGATCTTTTTTGAAGAAACCCAAGGACAAATCTTGCTTCTTAATTCTCTGGTGGAGGAAACTGTTGGTGCTTAGTTGAGCCTGTGCCAGGCAGTGGCCTCACTGTGCTGGGGTTATTTGGATGCATCATGAAATAAAGCAATCAAAAAGAAAATTCCTCTGAAGCCCTCCCTGGTATTTAATATTTTATTCATTCCCATGTTATTGTGCTTCGCCTGCGGTCAAACAGCCTCCTAGGAGTGAGGCATTAGAAGACTGACAAGCATTTTCCCATGAATTGCTACTACAATACAATGGCATTTTGTTTGCTGTTTTGTTTCCTTGTCTTCTAACATTCTTTCTGACTTTCAAGGGGGGAAGAAAAGGTAAGAAGAAAGAAAGAAATCCTCCTATGAATGGCAGAGAAAAAGAAAGAAAAGTTTCTTTGAAACTTCCAACCTTTTTCACTTGGTGCTGGGGTAGCATGTAAACCCCCCTCCACCCCACCCCACCCCCAGTCTATATGCTGGTCCTCTCCTCCCTCCTTTTGTGCTTCAAATGCCTTCTTCCTCTTTTATTTATTTTTCTTTTACCACATAGCATTGCTTTTCCATTATTGATTTAGAAAATCAAATCGGCAGGGGGCGAAAAATCAAGCGTGTACACATATTAAGAACGGGAAGGCAGAAGAAGATGGATCAAACCATCCATCTATCCATGCATCCATTTATCCATCAATCCATCTCGCTACCCACCCGCCTCGATTAAAATAAATAGCAGGCACAGTACACGTTGCTGGTTGGCTGAAGTTGTGATCTGCACAAAAGGTCTGTTTGGGAAAAGGATGCTGAAACTCTAATTCTATTTGTGCCGGTTGAAAATCAGGAGGGGTTTTTCTACACTTCACTTTTATTAGATTATTTCTTATAGATGGTTTCTTTTTTCCTCCCAGACGCGTGTTGGAGGCTGCTGAAGCAGTTGGTCTATAGTTGCAGTAATTAAATTAGCCATTTGGTACAACTTTTAGGGGAGAGCTCGCGTGTAGAAAGCACAACTCGGACAAAACAGGGCGCTGGGGCTGGGGCTTCCGCCGGGCCCAAGCCCGCACTCCTTTCATCTTCGGAGCAGAAGCAGGACCTCCGGCCACAAAAGACCCGCAGAAAGGCGGTGGGCCGCAGGGGACGGGGGGTTGGGGAGGGAATGGTGGCACTGAACAAAATAAACCTACAAGGCCTACAAAGGGAAAAATGAAGTCAAGCATATTTACTCATTCGACCGTGCGGGCCAGATCCTGAAAGGTCTCAGGGTACAAAGAAAAGGAGGCGCCCGGCACCCCGAGCCGGGCACCAGGGGGCGCCTGGAGGAGGCGCGGGCCGAGGGGCCGCCACGCTAGGGCACTGCCCGGGCAACCCGAGAGGACGGAGGAGGCGGGTAGCCGGGAGCTCGGGAGCCCGAACCTCAGCGCGAGGTGGAAAGAAGTCCTGGCTGGTCCAGGGGGCGCGGGGCGTGCAGGGCAGCGACAGCGCTTGCCTCCGCCGGGCCTGCCCTTCGCCCACCCCGTCTGGCACCCTCGCTCCGCTGCCTCGTCATCTCTCCATGTCACTCTCAGATGTCTTGTCCACGTCTAGCTCCCTTAGCTGCACACCCAACTCCTCAACTCAATACTCCTCTTTGCACAGGAACTGCCTCCGAGCACCGAACGTAGCCCGTATAACCCCGAGCTTCCCGAACTCTCCAGGCCCGCTTGCTCCTGCCTCCATCACAATGGTTGTCAGCGTCTGGGGACTGTCTGCAAGGTGGAATTGCCCCGCACTCTTGTCGGACACATGGACGGGGCCTGGGGCGCGTGGGGACCTTAGCAGACCGGGGGAGGAGGGAGCAGAGATGGAGCTTCTGGGGCTAAACCTGCCGGCCCTGCACCCTGCACCCTGCACCCTGCACCCTGCGGAGCCGCAAATCCTCACCCCACCCGCCACGGGTGCGCTGAGGCGCGGGAACCAAAAGGGACGGAAGCCTGGTTACTGCCCAGCAAGGGCCCCAAATCCGAAATGCATCCCCTTCGGCCACCCCATGTCACACCCCTTTTTCAAAGAGGCACGCTTAAACTCCACATGCGGGGTGGAGGAGCAGGCTGCGCGCCCATGGCTCCCTAACGCGGGCCAGGGGTAGTGGGGTCGCTATCAGAAAATCAGAAGGCACCGCCAAAAGCCAGAGAAACGTGCACAATCGCAGCCTTGTGCTTGACAACTTATCCCACCCCCTTAAGTGGCTTGGGGTTTGTGTGTGTGTGTGGGGGGGTGAGGATGGGGAAATTCCGTGTGGGCATCCAAAGGGACACAGCCACCTCCTGGTCCAAATGCAGATTCATATTCATGAGAGCGGGATAAATAAAGACAAATCCCCGCTGTAATAACACTTGGATTCGCATCCGTCTTTGCTGGCCTTTAGGTTTAGGGGACTGAAGACAGATGTTTGCGTCGTTTTTCTCCTCTTGTCTGGTGACCATAAAGAAAACCCATTTAGAGCGTTGCAATTTGTTTCCCGCCGCAGTTAAACCTTGTTCACATTTATTTTCATTTCACCCCCGTGCACAAAAAAGTGCACACAGGCCACCAAGGGCCCCTCTTTATCAAATACGCATTGTACAACATACAACTGCAATAAAACTATCAGCCCTCCCCATAAAACTATCACCAGGCTCCTTCGTGGGTCCTGCTGCCGGTACTCCCGACATTAAGACTGTCTAGTGTCCAGAGGATGCTCAAGCACCTGAAAGCAGCCTGAAACTTACCCTACAGAGACGCACAAGGCTGGGGGGCCGCTGCCCCTGTTTAATCCATTACGGCGTCCGCAGCAGTTTAGCGCGTAATAAAACACGGTGGCAGCGGAGGGCGGGCGCCCTTCCACTCCCCGGCACTAGCATCGAATTAAACCACTTAGTTTGCCAAACACTGAACGCCTAAATGCCCCTATAAAGACTTTATGAGTTTGTTACTTTAATTACTGACTTGTTACAGAGCACATAAAGGGGGTAATGAATGCAATAAAACTAATTATCTACACATTTAATTCATATAAAATATCCAGGGTTTGTTTACACAACACGGCGATTCAACTCAGCATTCCCCCTCTTGTCCACCGAGAGGAAGGATTTAATGAAATAGTTTCCCTTATTCGGCTAGAGCCTAACGAACCAAATGAAAATTACCCTCCGCTTAAATCATGGGCCACCGAGGTCCACAAATCAATGCTCGATTCTTTGTCTGCGCCTCGCTGCCAGCACCCAAGAGCCGGAGGAGTTGGCCAAGGGAGGTCCTCGACCTGTGGAGCCCTTGCCTGCACATTTAAATACCAAAGATTTCGCTCGCTGCAGCGCAAATCTAAAGGGCGAGTAGCAACTACCTCTCCAAAGCCCTGGTGTCTGTGCTAGGTTGCGGGTATCTGATAAAGTGGAAGCTGGGGGGGGGGCGGAAAAGGGGGTCTCAGCACGACAGGGATCGAAGAGGATATACACTCGGGCACACTTCCTTCCCGCTTGCCAATGATGGTGTGATTGAAACCAACAACCGCACAGAAACTCAAAACAAAATCTCAGCTCCCGCTATGCTGACACACAGTTGAGTGCAAAGAACTAAGGCTGCGGTTGAGAATCAGAAGTTTTCCGCTCACGAGCTTTACTCTGACGTTCTTTTTAGTCTCTAAGTGGCTGTATAAACTGAGTCTCCAGAAAAGCACATTCACCAGCGACAAGAAATACAATTTATAAGATGCTCCTTTTTACCCCTTCTACCGGGTGTATTCTACAGAAATCCGCTTAGAGTTCACAGAAACCCCCTTGGCCCACTTACTCTATGTTACAGGGCGCCTGAGTCTTGCCAATGTCCCAGTCCTTTATAACATTTCATGCACTTCAGGGGGTAGGCTTGTTGTTAAATTGAGCGTGTAACGCTCTTACAAAACTGGTTTTCTATGACATCAAGGTTTCTTCTCCCTAACCAAGGGAAGAAAAAAAAAGAAAGAAAGAAGATGAAGAAGGGGGAAAACACACACTATCTCAATTTATGCCTAAGGTATATGATCAGTTAAAAAGGCTTAAAAGCTCGGGGAAATTGGATCAGGGAGAATCGTCACCCAACTTTCATTATTTCCAAGTAGTGTGATTGAATTAAAGGGCAGGGAGCTGGTTAGAAGGGAGGATCAGGGGCTCAGTGCGTAATGGTGTGGTATTAAATTCTAATTAGAGATGCAGGAATCAATGATAGGGAGGTTGGACAGCTCAGTTCCCCAGTGCCAGCCCAATAGACGGATGAGTTATTGTCATGTAAAAAGCGCCAGCAATAAGACCAACCGCTTTGCTATTGTCCAAGTGGAAAGAGCCAAGTTTATTATGAGGACTATATGCTCTAGAGACCTCAGACAAGGCATCTCATAGGAGGCTTTTTCATAAAACTAGGCTCTGCTGGTAGTAAGGAGGCCAGTTCGGAGGCAGGCGTTGAGCTGTGCACATCTCCCCTCTCCAGCCACCTTCTCCATACCCATCTTTTATTTCCTTTTTCCACTTGGCTGAGCCATCCAGAGCCTTTTCAATGTATAAAATGGAATATTCTTACCTCAATTCCTCTGCCTACGAGTCCTGTATGGCTGGGATGGACACGTCGAGCCTGGCTTCAGCCTACGCTGACTTCAGTTCCTGCAGCCAGGCCAGTGGCTTCCAGTATAACCCGATAAGGACCACTTTTGGGGCCACGTCCGGCTGCCCGTCCCTCACGCCGGGATCCTGCAGCCTCGGCACCCTCAGGGACCACCAGAGCAGTCCGTACGCCGCAGGTAAGGACCGCCAGCTTTCTCGGCGGAGGAAGCTGCCTTTCCGCCCGTATATAGGAAGCCTTGATTGCATTTGAAAATGGAAATGTGTTTAGTATTTACCAAACGAAATTTGCTTACACAAATGAAAGAATTTATCACGTTAGAAGCGATTGCAGGGAGGGGTAATTCACTTACAGAGTTACACTATCCTAGTCACACCCGAACCGCCAACAAAATTATCTTAAGCTGCCAAAATGATAGGCATAATTTATTTACTTTGCGATGAGACGTAAAGCTTAGAAAATAATTAAATAACAAAGAGTAAAGCTCATTACTGGCAGTGTCTCTCTTTTTTTAAGAGTCGACAGCGGCTCACACCTCTTCGGCTGGTCATTTTTATGATAATTTCTTTAATTTATTATTTTTTTTGCAGCACTTTTCCCCAACTTTTGGGCCAGGTCAGCTTCTGAGAAATGAGAAGTTCCTACAGTGGGAGAGTTTGGTAACCTCTTCCCTGGCTCCCTGATATTCCTACTGACGTTCTCGGACTTTTTTCCACTTTCATTTTTTCGTGCGCAAAGCGCTATCTGTCCTGTGTTGTGTCCCGTTCCTCAGTCATCTCCAAGGCGCTATTTCAAACTATTCAAAGGCGCTTGTGCCAGGAGGGATCCTACCAATGCCCAAACTTCGCGCCCCTCTTTCCGTGTTTAACTCATTTGCTCTGTTTCTCTCGGCTGCACCTCATCGGCCACTGAGCTTGGAGTCCCCACCTTTCAGCTCTACGGTCCCCAAGCTCCTGACCGTTTGGCTTACTCTCTATTCCCTCTGTCTTTCCCCAGTTCCTTACAAACTTTTCACCGACCACGGCGGCCTCAACGAGAAGCGCAAGCAGCGACGCATCCGTACCACTTTTACTAGCGCGCAGCTCAAAGAGCTGGAGAGGGTCTTCGCCGAGACGCACTACCCCGACATCTACACCCGCGAGGAGCTGGCCCTGAAAATCGACCTCACCGAGGCGAGAGTTCAGGTATGCAAGCCCCGAAGCGGAGCTGGCCTCCACCGCACCGGGTGAGGGGAGGGCGGCCCAGACACCAAGGAGACACCTGCTGAGGGTCGGAATTCCGGGGCCTGTCATGAGAAAGACTTTCCCCCAGTGGTCCAGGGCCGTGTTCTGTGTGGCTGTGCGCTTGAGAGGAAAGGAAAGGGCGCGCGCCGTGGGCTGCTTATTTACTGCTGTGAAATGTGTTTTCCACCCAAGCTAGTGTTGCAGAGGCGTTCAGGTACCTTGGGAAGTGAATTTGAGAGGCATTGCGGGGACAAGAAGTGCCCTGCGTGGGGAGGGGGAGGAGTGCAGACTTTGCGTCCACGTGATAAGGTGTGTTTTTGTTTGTTTGTTTGCCGAACTCCTCCTAACTCGAGCGCTTTTAACCTGGGGCCTTGACGAATAGGTGCGTTTTCCCAGGAACTATGACTTGCAACAGATTCGGGAAAGGCTGTGACAACATGCAGGTTGAGAATCAGGGCTTTCTCTGACCTGTTAGGGGCACAGGTGTACTCACAAGTAGGCCATAGAGGCAGGCCTTTGACCTGCAAAGCAGTAGGCTAGGACCACTCACCTCTCCTCCTGAGCCGGGGGTGGAGAGGCAGTGCGCACCTTCAGGCCCAAAGGCCGGGTACGAGCAGCTGGTTCCAAATCTGGAGGCCCGCTCCTTCTCCCAATTACAATTTAACTTCAGTCCCGAGGCTTAGGGGCAGTTGGCGAATTTGAAAGTCGCAGAAAAAGTAAGCTGAGCAAAGACCCACCAGAAAAGGGCTACCATTTCAGGGCGTTTCTGGGGCCCGGGGCCTTGTTTTCCTCTCCCTCAAGTCACCCTTTCTCTGGCATGCTCAACTCGCCCTAGATAAGGTTCCCCGAAGATGCATCAACCAGTAACAAGGGGCAGATGTGTTGAACTGGGTGGCTGCAGGCGTGCCAGCGGCGCGTCGGAGCGCAGGTTCGCCCAGTGTAGGCTGGAGTGGGAGGTTCAAACAAGTTGAAATGGAACTAGGCCGCCCTAGTCTATACTTGTCTGTCGCGTTCCCCTCTTTTCCCCCTGGTTTCACCACCTCTCCTCTCCTCTCGGGCCAGGTGTGGTTCCAGAACCGCCGCGCCAAGTTCCGTAAGCAGGAGCGCGCAGCGGCGGCCGCGGCGGCCGCGGCCAAGAACGGCTCTTCAGGCAAGAAGTCCGACTCCTCCCGGGACGACGAGAGCAAAGAGGCCAAGAGCACCGACCCGGACAGCA